AGTTCTGATTACATGTCCTTGATTGTCAAGAGTCAATTAAATTTGTTTAACTAAAATCATGTGTGAAAATTTTTGCCTATTCTACTTAGTCTATTAGGTCAAAAGAAATTCTTTAATTTTATTTATCATGTACTTCGGGAATGCTTACAGGACCTTGGGCACTGTGTCAGTGCTAGGAATAGCCAGGTATAAGGTTACATAAAGTTACAGATTAATTGAGAAAGTGAAGCGAAACATGTAAGTGCTCACATGATTGTAAACTCCTACTAGTAAGCACTGTGAAGAGAAAGCATGGGTGGTCACAGCCACAATGACAAGGTCCCAGGAAGACAACTCTGGAATTGGTGATCATGAAATGAAAGTCTTTTATGGGGAGTGGAATTCAAATGAATTCTACAGATTTAATAAGAAGCAATAATAGTATTCATTGTTGTTTAAAATTTTATTTAGAGGAGTATATTATGCAGAGGGCACAGTAAGGTGGACGCTCTTGGACAGGAATGGTGTGGCCAAGGAATAGTGAGGAGACCAGATCACAGTCCGGATGCGGGCAGACTGGCCTGAGATGAATGTAGATGGGCAGCAGTGACAAATGATGGCAGGCCTCATAACCTTGACAGTGATGTGAGGGATTTAAGGTGACAAGAAAGAAAGCAAGGACGGTAGTCAAAAAGCTACGGTATGAGGGTAATGAGATGTGGTAGTGGCTTCAATGGCGGCAGTTATGGACAGAAAAGCACAGGATTTTCAAAGTGAAGCCAAGAGGAAGCATTGTTGGATGGAACATAAGAATGTAGAGAAATCCAGGTTTCCAGCTTTACTAATGCCTGGATTTTCTAATATATATTGAAACTTGGCATATATAAATAATGCTAGTGGGAAATTATGCATAAGGATTTCACATCTTCATTTCATGTTTTGAAGTTAACCTTGTCAGTGGAGAAAGTTTCTTTCTTTTGCAGGTCCATTGTCTTGGTGGAGAAATTGGAGCAGAAGTCTGGGAGCATCTCCTTGTCATGATCCGATGTCCCTTTTTGGCTCTTTCAGCTACAATAAGTAACCCTGAACATCTCACAGAGTAGGATTGTATTCCAGTTTGGTGCAAATACTTACCCATCTTAAACATTTGACTTTCATATTTTCTACATGAGTCTTTAAGAGTTTCATATTTCTCTGGTTAGCTAATAGTTTATGTCTAGATGTTCAAGATAGTGCTTTCTATCTTTCCAGTACTTTCCTGGAAGGTACTGCCTACCCTCTACAAATATTAAGGATGCCCCACTCCAGCCAGATCTTCAATTTAGTAGGAAATTTCCCCTAATATATCAAAATATCTTAACAAGAAATGGACATATGCTCATTTTTTTCTTTGCCAGGAAGCCAGTAGTAGAGATATGATACCACATTCAGCCATTGATCCTAAGATGTATTTTGTCCCTCTTTGTACAGATATCTAGAAGATATCAAAGTCTAATCAGTTGAAAGCTGTGTATCATTTTTGTCATTGAGGGTGATTTTTGCACAATAATAACAATTATGCCATTGAACCATATAAAGCTACCTGTGTGCCAGTTACTTTTCTAAGTGCTTTGGATATATTAATTTCTTTTAAATGCCAGCGAGGCTTATGATTTACTATTTTCCTATTATTGTTAGTAGAAAACAGTGCTTCTACTATTGCTACCATTGCTACTACCGCTACCATCACTACCGCTATTATTTCCATTTTAAAATATGGAAAGCAAAGTGCAGAAACACTAAATTATACAAACAAAAGCCATAGCTTGCAGAACTTAGGCTGGGCTTCAATCTCTGAAATAGACCTTTAAGGCATAAAATTGTCAGTTGTCTCTCCTGAAACTATTTAATTAATGGAAAGTATTTCCATTTCTGCCTAAATAATACACGTTTATTGTTAAGGTGGCTGCAATCAGTAAAACATTACTGGAGACAAGAAGACAAAAAAATGGAAAAAAGGTCAGCTTCCAAAAGAAGTGCTGGTGGTCACGCCAGTTTCTCGAAAGGCTACTTGCAAATAAAGCAATCCTACAAAGTTAGACTTGGTAGGTTTTATATAATCTTATAAATTTTATCTCTGATGTTAAAATTCTTCCCAGTCATTGCATTTCCATTAATTGGGAAAGTTGTGTCCTTCAATTTTAGTGCTGTATGGAGAGAGATACAATGATTTAGAGAAGCATGTATGTTCCATCAAAAACGATGACATTTGTCTAGATCACTTTCACCCCTGTGCGGCACTAACCGTCGATCACGTGAGTAATAACTACATCACGTGTGTTCTGATGAATAAAATTATTTATATATTTATAACATAATGTAGAAACTGCTTACTTGATACTTTTCAGAATTAAAGGGTAGATGCTTTACAGAACATGTTTCCACCTTGATTTTACAAGCAACAGGGGCTGTTCTTTCGCATGTCATTTTTAAAGGTGTCACAATTGTATGGTAGAAGTCTTACTACTATTTCCACTTTACAGCTGAGGAGCATATAAACCTTAAGTGACTCAGTGTTTCAAGGTAAGTAAATGATGGGACAAGCAAGCAATCTCAGACTCCCCACTCTCTTCTCTGGGATCTGGCCAACAAATACATTAATGAACGTGAGTCACTTTATAGCCTTTGGTACAATTTTCAATTTTTCACTGGCTCCTGAAAGCAAATGAACAAACCTGAATGATTCTAGCTTTCCACTAGGATTCTTGGAAAGAGTCTTAATTCACTCTCTTAACCTAGAATACAGATGATAACCCAAACATAAATAACAAAAGCTTTTCCCCGCTTCTCTCCTTCCCTCCATTCTTTCCTTCCTCTCTTCCTTCTTTCCCCTCAATTCCCTCTTTCTTTCTCCCCTCCCATGATATCCAGAGATTATCTAACATTTTGCCACTACTTGAAATTAAAACATAGCATAGTACTCTAAAATAGCTATTTTGTGTAAGATGGCTCTAGGCAGGTTATCTTCAAGCAGCAATGCACATAGTAATTCAGAGCACTCGCTGAATTACTGAGCACAGCTTATTTTTTCCTTTATCCAAAGGAGAAAAATGATTTCCCAAGGGCAGCTATGGATCAGGTTAAGGGAGCTGGCCTTAATCCAACCATAGCCAGGAATTTCTTTCAATCCACACCTGACTCGTTTCTGGATGAGAGGTGTGTTGTTTGACATTTGTCACTGATTTTCATGGCCCACAGGAAAAGCTTCTGACTTTTGCAGAACTGTCGTCCCCAGAAGTCCTAGATAAACTATTAGCTCCCTGTTGCGCAGCATGGAGCCGCACTAGTACTCCGGTGACAATGGGGATGCTGTACAAGAATTGGGAGTTTGCAAAAAAACAGAATCATGGCATATGATTGTTCTCATAAACAAAGACAGTGCAATTGTGTGACCTTTTATTTTTCTTCATTTTCTACCTAGACTGTTTAAGCTTTGCCAGTTCATTTGTTGTTGTATAGTGAACAACAGCTAAGTGAAATTTCCAGTTTTTAGCCTTATAATTAGTAAATTGAGTTAAAAATTATGACCTGTGCATTGATAATTAGTTACCCTGACACATGACACAACAGATATGCACAATGTAAAATGTACTTTGGTAGGCTGTTATACTTAATTTAATTCTCATATCAAATTGATGGCACTGGCAAAATTTGCTTCCAGTTAAGAAATGAGGGAACTCAAACTTTCATAAAAGAATGTGACTTCAAAACCCATTTGGTATCTTACTGACCCAACCAAAGGTCTATATTTGAAAATTCATAATTCTTAGAGGGCCTGCCAAATAGCTGGGTGGATTAAAGAGCCTGCAAACAGGCGCAGGGACTGGGGGTTCAATCCCCAGGTTTGCTGTGCCAGCCCCACCCCCGGGGTGTGCTGAGACAACAATTGAGACTGGACATGGTGGTGTGTGCACCTGTAATCCCGGCTCTTGGGAGACTGTAAACAGGAGGATCACTATGAGTCCGATCTAGTAGTGAGACCCTGAACACCCTGTAGACACTTCCCTAAAATACAACTACAAAATAATAATAATACTTAGATTTATTTTGTTTCATTTTAGTGAGGAAGTATAAATGATCATTCTCAAGTAATAATAAGTAAACAAAATGCTAGCAATCTGAAATATTATGTTAAATTAGAATTTTTGCTTAACTTAATGCAGTCTTTCCCATGTAGCCAGCTTTTATTATTCAAATTGGGAGACTAAATGGTGATTCCAAGCAAAATGCTGAAAGAACATATAAATCATTTCTTAATTTTTTTTTTTGTTTTACCAGATTGAGTAAGATAGAAGTACAGTTTATTCCTATATTCAGGATATGGAACAAGCACCGAGATACGGAATTTTAGTGTGATTTTTCTTACTTTTTAGAATTTTTTATTGATGTATTTGGTACAGGGTCTAGCTATGCAGCTTGGACTCATTGTGATCCTCCTGTTTAAGCCTCTCTAGCAGTGGGATTACAAGCACGCACCACCATACTCGGTCTCAGTACCAGCATGGTGGGTCCAGGGTCAGCTCAGCATGCTGTGCCGAGACTGAACCCTGGTCCTTCTGCTTTTTAGGCATGTGCTTAGACTGCCAAACTATCTCCCTAGCCCATTAGTGTGATTTTCTGAGATGAACTTTCTTGTACATTCTCTTTCATAAAATACCTTCATTTTTGTTTTGTTTTTTTTTCTAGCAGTGTTATACATGGAGTGATCACTTTGAACAAGAATTTTAAAATTCTTTAAAATGAGTTTTATAAGCATTTAACAGCTATTTATAACTCAAGGGACCTATTTACTTATTCTAGATAAATCTTCATACTATATCTTTTTTTTTTTTTTTTTTTTTTTTTTTGTGATGTAGGTTTTCCTATGAGAAATCTCCCTAAATCTGGTTTATTTAGTAGAATATATGAACTTCCTTCCTCTTTTTTTTTGTAGAAACATTATCTTAGTCCATTCAGCGGGCTCCTATAGTAAAAGTTACATGGAGTGGGTGCCTATAAAAATCAGTGTTTATTTTTTGTAGTTCTGGAAGCTGGTAAATTTAAGATCAACCTTCTGGCAAATTGGGGATCTGGTGAGGACCCATCTTCTGGTTTATTGATGGCCCCCTCTTGCTGTATTTTCACTTGGTAGAAAGGACAAAGTAGCTTACTGGGATTTCTTTTATAAAAAAAAAGTGAGAGAAAGACAAACTAGTATCATTATAGTAGTTCTTCTCTCATGACCTTCTGCCTCCGAAAGCTCTCAGCTCACAAAACCATCACACTGGGGACTATGTTTTAAAGTATAAACTTGGAGAAAATCTCAGTCATTCAGGATATAGCAAATATTTATCTACAGGCCACTAACCAGGTTTTCACTGGCAATTTGTAGCAGTAGTGGATGATAGCAGAAATGTTCAATAAAACTTTTTGAGACTAGTGACTATTTAAAGACTGAGAGGGGATCTAAGTGAGGGACACATGGAAGAGGGTGTTTGTTGTAATGTCTTCAAGGTCAATGGAGAAACTTTTCTTTGAGTTGACCCAGTTCCAATCTTGGAATTAAAACAAAGATTCATCCTTTTTAGCTTTGCTTGGTCCACATAAAAGTAAAGAATCATATTCACAGTTAAAACCATTTCAGATTCAGTTTCAGAACAGAGATATTATCAGCATTTACAAATCTTTCTATCTTCTTGCTTTCTTGACTTGAGCTATAAACATAGTCCACAAAAGACTAGCCTAATTAAAAGATCTTAGGAAATATATCTAAGTTTTTTGATGAAGTTTTGGAGTTTTTATAATTTAGTAATTTAAATACATTCATGGGTGGTATGTTATTAGCATGTAAAAACATTACTACTAACATTTGAACACTTGGTTGAATGCCATTCATTGACTTTGGGTTCCTGTTTGTGCCTCTGAGACAAAAAAAAAGAAAGATATGTGACAAAAAGAATATTAAAAGGTTTAATTTCATTTTAAACATAGATTGAAAAGTATGGATTCCCTTCTGATCTTACGCTTTCACCTCGAGAAAGCATCCAGCTGTATGACAGCATGTTTCAAGCCTGGAAGAGTTGGCCACAGGCCCAGGTAAATGATACTCATGAAATTAGTGCTATTATAGAGGATAGTAGTGATGATGCTTTGAGTTCTCACCCTTTCTCCTCACTTGTGTTTGACCTTTAAAAGCTAATTATGGGCTCTTCAAAAATAAGACAGCCTGCATCCATTCTTCTTAGGAAGTTTTAAGTGCTGTTTAATTTGTGAAAATGCTTCTTCTCTCCACCTTTGAGTACTGTGGTATTTTATTTTATTTATTTTATTTTATTTCTTTTGGTGGAACCAGGGATTGAACTCAGGCCCTTGCGCTTGCCAGGGAAGCACTTATTCCACTGAGCCATCTCCCTGGCCCTAATAGAGAAGTTTTCAAGACATGAATTACTGTGGTATTTTAGTCTCCTCTTCTCCGTTGGTTTTCTAGTCTACCTTTTCCTGTGACCACCCTTGTCCTTTCTTTCTATGCCTGTGGTTTATTCTTTCATCTCTGACTTAATTGGTCTCCATCTTCTCCTTACCTCAGAGTCTCATGTCTTAGATGCTTTTGAGAAAAATAAGAAGTTCAGCAGTCTCTGAACTCGACAGCTTGGATGATGCTGGTGAGACATCATCCCTAACAATGTTTCAAGTCTTGGGCATAATTTTATGTTGTGTTGTGATATTTTTTTTTCAGAAACTGTGTCCAGAGAACTATACTCATTTTAAGAATAAATTAATCATTAAAAAGATGGATGCTAGAAAATATGAAGAGAGCTTAAAGGCAGAATTAAGGAGTTGGATTAAAAATGGCAATATAAAGCAGGTAATTTTCACATGTTTCTACAGAGCACTGTATTGTCTTTATTGTTTTCTTGAGTTTTGTCAGTTAATACCATTTTTTTAATTGTCAATTTTCATTTTGGCATTTTAAATTGTACATAAAGTTTAGTCATCCTGAGGTAAAATAAAAAGAGGGAAATTTTTTTTTCTTTCATCCTCAGTGTCTCCTAAAACATGAAAAAGAGATTTCTCACAGACATTATGACCACAAGGAACAGAAGGTCAATATCTTACCTCATGGTAGCTGCGAATTTTTATTCTTTGTTACTTTTTTAGTCTTGGAGTTTTTGAAAAATTTTTGTTTTTTCAATTCATACTATTGATTAAAATCATCAGTATACTCATTAAGTCAGTTCTTTTTTTTTTTTTTTTTCTTTTTCAGTACCATGGATAGTATTCAGGACTTTATATTTGCCAGACAGGTGCTTATACCACTGAGCTATATTCCTAGCCCTTCATTAAGTCTGTTTTTATCTTTATATTTGTAGTTTTTATTTTCTTTATTTCTTTTTTTTTCTTTTTTGTATTGTAGGGAAGGGTCTACAGGCTGTTCAGGGTCTCATTACTTGATGGGACTTGTAGTGATCCACCTGTTTACAGCCTCCTAAGAGCTGGGATTATAGGGAGCGCCACCAAGCCCAGTCTCAATTGCCCTGTCAGCATGCCTGGGGGTGGGGCTGGCACCACAGTTCCTATTTTCAAAAATTGAGACTGCAGATTTTTTTAAAGAATGACACATACTAGTTTTCTCATGTGATTTTTTTCCCATTATGTTTTAATTTGCTTTCCTTCAATTCAGGAATATGAAATAATTAGTGTCTTAGCAGCTTTCCTACTTGCACAGATGAAACACCAGACAGCTGCCATGTAAAGAAGAGATAGATTTGGCTTCTAGTTATGGAGGTCTTGGTCCTTAGGTGGCCAAGCCGGCGCTAAAGACTAAGGGCCTGGCGGAGGGGGCTGCTCCCTGTATATAGGTTAGGAAGCAGAGAAGGGAGGAGTCAGGGAGGGAGACGCTCTGCGCCTTCCAGCGGCACCCTGTGGGCCACAGTGTCCAACCAGATCTCACCTTCTCGCAGTAGGCAGCGGTGGTGCCCGTGATTCAGCACCCCCAAAAGCCTACCTCTGTGCACAAGACGTGTTGGGGACACGGACTTGGATCATGACAATTTTTTATACTTATTTTTCCATGTAACAGCCTTTGAAAGTGTACTGAGGATGACCTTCCTAAGAGGCTGGAAGCACTGCCTTCCCCCTCCCCTCCTGCGGGTTGGACGCAGGGTCTGCTGCTCAGCCATCCTTCCCTTAGGCTGATTCAAGTGGTCTTAAATATTATATGTTGAACTACATGCATTTTTGTTTCCTAGTTTAATTATTTGTATATTTCTTTGGCTATTTTAAGCATGTTTCAAAAATACATATACTCATAGTACTATTTAAAGAACCACAGAAACATGGATTAGACAGTTATGAAAATTTTTGAGAAAATAGTAGCAATCCATTTCTTTTTTTGCTAGACAAGACATAAGTGTTTTTTAAATTTATTGTTGCAGGCTAAAATAGTACTGAAATCTCTTAGCCCTGATTCAGCTTTTAGTTCAGAAGATAAGATGAAGAAATTTCCACTTCTTGTTGAAAAATTAAGGGAGATGGATAAGTTACCTGCGATATTTTTTATGTAAGTCATATAATTTGTTTTTATTGTAATTTACATGAGACTTTTTAAGGTGGAAAGAGGTAGACAAACTTTAGTTTTGTACTGTAATATTCATTATTATTTGGGGGACTGATTTGTTAGTCAAATGCATGTTTTGTTTAAAAACATACCCCTCTAGTTCAATGGTTTTAAATTTAGTTTAATATTATAGATTATATTCTTTATTTTTTTAGCCCATGTTTTTCTTTCCTTGTACAGCAGACTGTTACTACTTTATTGTTACAATTATTGTCTTAATTTTAGTACATGTCTAGCTTCTTTGTGAAACAAATTGAATGTACATGTACACAAGCATCTCATATAAAATTAAAATGTCTTGTGATATGCCAGCAGACTTACTGGTAGGAAATTTTAGTATTTTTAATTTATTGTGATGAGAATTCTGACTTGTAAGTACTGAAAGCTTAATAGATTTTATGTGCAAAAGTATACAGTAACAAAGTTTAAAAATATTAGCTCACAACATAATTTATTTAATGGAAAATGTGACATAAATTGGGTTCATCTTGACAGAATGTATAGCTTGAGATCAGATCATTTCACGCTATACTTAAGTCACTAATCTTTGTAATAAACTGCTTTCTCATTGCAAAATTTAATGGTACATGCTGACACTGTACATGGCCATAGTAATGAATGCTCATGGGTGACATAGATTTAAAATAATGATGACAGATGAATGAAAATGTATATTTTGATATTTGGGGATGTATGTAATATTGATTCTGTTATTTTATTATTGGATAAAGGAAAATATACTTCTGGACCAGGAAGCACTTACGTAGCTCACCTACCTTACTTTCAGAAATGGCTAGGATGTTAGAAACAAGAGCCATTCTATGTTTCTGGGATATTTTCAAAAGTCTAACTACAAAAAAGAAATTCAAAGTTAATTTCATTCTTTGTACCTGTAGTCTCTCAGCACTTTTCTAATGGGTCTGACAATTGATTATATATATAGGAAGAGCAGCAAAAGCAAAGCATACAAATTAAAATAAATTAGATAATGTATAAGACCCTTTATAAGAAAATGAAAACCCAAGGACTTGTAGTTGAACACTTAGTACTGAGTTTGGACAAACAGACCAGGGGTAAAATAGTTTGTTAGAGATGTAATCAGAGGAGAAATTTTAATTTAACCAGATTTTCATAGATTTCATTTTATTTTAACTTCACCTTTATACAAAAAATATTTTTCTCCCTCTGGTAAAAGAACCTCTTTCTTTTTCTTTTTAACATTTTATTCTATTTCATTTTATTTTGAAGAGTAAAAACAGAAGGAAAAGACCCCAGAAACCAAGATAGACAAAGGGTAGCACACAACAATACTTATGCTACATTTTTTCAAAACAAGAATAGCTAGTTAACAATGGTTGTTATATTCTTTGTCTTTACTATCAAATCTGTTGCTCAGATTAATGGTTACAGTTAGGAAGAATTGGACAAACAATTGAACACTAATATCTGCCTTCAAGAAACCTTAGCTTTTTTAAAAATGTATTTTAAAGTGAGTGTAATAATTATTGAGAAGACATTAGACATGGTCCACATTTAGAAAACTAAGATAAGACGTATTTAAGCATGGTTTTTGTATTACACATTGCTGTTCTTGATGTAGTTGCTTAGATAGCAGATATCAGCCGACAAAGTTAGTCAAGATAAAAAAAAAATGATGGAAATTATTAGGTCAATCATCTCTTCCATACTGTATATATACTCGCATATTTTTCCCTATCTTTTCTCCTTTCTCTCATCTTCATTGTTTAATCCTTAAGTTCAGTTTCTTTCTTTTATACTATATCTGTTACACCTTTCAGGTTTTATTTATTCTTTCAGGTTCTTACACTAGGGAGACAATACAATATTTATACATGTGGTTCTGATTTATTTCACTCATGAGTATACCCTCTAGTTACATCCACTTACCTATAAAAGTTTTGAGTTTGACTTTCTTTATAGCTGAGTAATACTCCATTGTATTAAGGATTTTTTTTTTTTTGCTCCTCAAATGCCTTCAGGGCACTTTTGGCTGGCTGGAGGGTTGTGGGGATCGAACTACAACAACCTGAGGCTGACAGCTTTGTGGAAGCAGCCACTTAAAGAACTGAGCTAGGGCCAGGCCCCCACTCCATTGTATTAAAAAAAGGACTTTTCTTCATCTGTTCCTCAAGTAATGATAATTTTGGTTGTTTCCAAGTTTTGGCTGTGACAAATTGTGCCACCGTAAACATGAGTACACATATATCACTATGGTATGATATTTTCATCATTCCTAGAGGCAAGTTTTATACTGATACCAAAACTGGAGAAGGATTCAACCAAAAAAGAGAATTATAAGCCAGCCTCCCTCATGAATACAGATGCAAGAATACTCAATAAATATTAGCATATAGAATACAGTAAATCATCAACATTTTACACCATGACCAGATAGGATGCATCCCAGGGATGTAATGATGGTTCAACATAAACAAATCTATAAATTTAATATGCTATACCAATAGAGCCAAAGACCACAAACCACATGATCATCTCAATAGAGGCAGAAAAGGTTTTTGACACAGTCCAACCACTCATTCATGATCAAAGCCCTAGAGAAAATTGAAATAGATGGCCTATACCTCAACCTGATAAAAGCCTTCTATGACAAGCCAACAGCCAACATAACTCTAAATGGAGAAAAATTGAAAGCTTTTACTCTCAAATTAGGCACAAGACATGAATGCCCTCTATCATCACTCCTATTCAATATAGTTCTGGAGTCAACAGCTAAAGCCATTAGGCAAGAGAGAGAAATAAAAGGAATAAGAATAGATAAAGAAGTAAAACTATCATTATTTGCAAATGACATGATAATCTATTAGAAAGACCCCAAAAACTCCACCAAGAAGCTCCTGGAATTAGTAAACAAATTTAGGAGCATAGCAGGATACAAAGTCAATACCCACAAATCAATAGCATTCCTCTACACAGATGAGAGAGAAATTATAGAAACAACACTGTTCACAATAGCATTAAAAATAATGAAACACTTAGGAATTAATCTAACAAAGGAAGTAAAAGATATATACAATGAAAATTACAATGCTCTGGGAAAAAGAAATCAAAGACGAATTCAGAAAATGGAAAGGTATTCTTTGCTCCTGGATAGAAAGAACTGACATTGGGAAAATGGCAGTAGTCCCAAAATTGTGACAGATTTAATGCAATCCTTATCAAAATACCATCAAGGTACCTCACAGAGCTAGAGAAGACATTCTTAAAATTTATTTGGAAAAAGAAAAGACCTAGATTAACAAAGGTAGTCCTGGGCAACAAAGGCAGGCCAGGAGGTGGTACTATCCCTGACTTGAAATTATACTAAGAAGCTACTCTGATAAAATTGCAAAAAAAATAGACCTGAGGATCAATGGAACAGATTGGAAGATGCAGATACAACTACAAACACATTCAGCCATCTTATCTTTGACAAAGGAGCCAAACATGTTCACTGGAAGAAAGACAGCCTCTTTAACAAGTGGTGCTGGAAATACTGCCCCTCCACATACTGAAAACTAAAACTAAACCAGAGTTTATCTCCAGGCAGTAAACTAAAGTCAAAATGGATTAAAGGTATAAACATGAAAATAGAAAGACTAAATCTACTGGAAAAGAAAGTAGGTGGAACTCTTGGCAATACAGGGGTAGGCTGACAGTTCATGAACCGAAGCCAAACTGCATTGGAAATACTTCAAAAAATCAACAACTGGGACCTCATTTTACTAGAAGTTTCTGCATGGTAAAAGAATCTCCTTCATGTGGGCTTTTAATCTACTTTTATGAAAACGATCCTTAGCCTGCTGTTTTTTCAAGCACTTTTAATTGAAGATATTTAATATACTGGAAAGCTGAAGTGTGGGTGGCATCCTCTGAATTCTGATATATACTTAATATATTTATAAAGAAAAATATTAATGAACTTATCAAACATTTGGGCTAGGGAGATAGCTTGGTAGCCTAGGTGCCTGCCTGGCAGGTGCAGGGACCTGGGTTCGATCCCTGGTACCAGATAACATGCTGGCCCTGGGTGCTGAGCCAGCCACTACAACTGGGCATGGTGGCACCTGCCTGTGGTCTCAGTGCTGGGCAGGCTGAAAACAAGAGGATCACTATGAGTCTGAGCTGCATGGCAAGACCCTGAATCCAATTAAATAAATTAATAATT